AACAACAACAACATAGCATACAATATATATATTAATAAATATATCCCAGAATATAAATATTAACAAATATATATGTAATGAGATACATATGTATCCTTTTTCCTAAATTTCTCTTCTTAGCTCCATCCTTTTCTTCCTTTCTTTCCCAACGATTCTTTTCTGCTATATATGTTCATATACATGATTATGCATTAATTACCATATACTTGCCCCACTACCTATCTGCTACCATAGCCATTGATAAAGCCATTCCTAATCTTAGTCTGGTTTCATAGGCTGAAGTGCAAGGTAAAGAAACACAAAACAAATGGGGGAAAAAAAAGTTACAAGTCAGAAAATGGCAAATAGGTCTCCACGTCCTCAATTATCAATCATTTCATAGACAGCTGGGATGACAGATCAATTACAAATAATAAATCTTGCCCTGTCTGAAAAAAATCTCATGGGGGGAAAACAATAGAAAGTCCAAGGAGACCATAAAAAGACATAAGCCCATGAGACAAAGAGGAGGGAGGGGCAAGAAGAGCAAAACTATCCTGGAAGGATTTAGCACATCCTAGAAAGCTGGCTCCTAGCTGGCCGTGGGAAGGAAGCTCCCTCCATACGGCGGTCGGTTCTTTTGTTAGTTGGCATCCAACATGTGTATGTTTTTATTTGATGTGATGTCTTTATTTGTCTATCTGAGCATTATTATTTCCTTCTATAGAAGATGAATTCTCACATTCACCCTTAAATTTCCAACCAAATAATTCCACACACTTTTCATGAAACAATCCAATCTCAGTGTACTTATTTGTAAAATAAAAAAATTAGAAATATTTAGTACATTAATACAGCTTATGAAACATAGATCCTTTAGAAATAGACAAAGTCACCCTTTCTGAGGACACGGTTATATCAAACATGACAGACACTCGTGCACACGAATGAGGCTTGTTTTACCATCTGATCCTGGGAGTCCCTGCATCCCCGGCGGGCCGGGCAGGCCAGGTGGTCCTGGGTTCCCTGGTCTTCCTGGAGCGGAGTCGGCTCTCCCAGGAATTCCCGCGGTGCCTGGAAGCCCTGGATAACCAGGAAATCCTCGAGGGCCAGGAGGTCCCATCATTCCTCCAAAAGAAATCAATGATGACAATGATAAATACTACCAGAGGAAGCTGTTCTGTGGAAGGAAACAAAAGCTATGACTTTTCAAATGGCACGGAACGTTTTCAAAGAATGAAAAACATTCAGTCCCACAGCCCTTGGAACGCCTTGGGTCCTTCTAAGTAAACACACAAACAATGGCACGGGCTGGTTTGGGAAACCAGGTCTTCTCTTTTCCCCAATCTGTGGGGTTTCTGGGAAAGGAGCAGATGATATTTCATAGAAATTAAGTTTTTTCCAGTTTGCCACCATGATAATTTGGCATAAAAAGAGACTCTGAATAAACATATTAGCACATTTAAGGACCAAAATATAATCACACAAAACCTACTTAAAGGGTCCTGGTGGTGCAGCAGATGAAGCAGTTAGAGCAGCTAACCAAAATGCTGGTTGTTCAAAGTCACCAATTGCTTTGTGATGTGGTGACCTGCTTCTACAGACAGACAGTTAGAAACCCCAAGGGGCGGGTGTACTCTGTCTTCTAGGGTTGCTACGAGTCAAGATCCACTTGATGGCAACTGATTTGGGTAGAATCGTAGGAGATAAAACATCACCCTTTGCATAGTCGCCTCATTGCCATTTCACTATGTGGTATGGGAAAAGAGCACTGAATATCTCACAGCTGTTGAGAGAAGAAACAGACCTGGTTTGGAAGGCACACCATCAGCGTGCTCCTTAGAAGCAAAAATGAGGAGCTCACATCTCATACACTTTCGATGTGTGTCAGGTGGGTCCAGTCACTGGAAAAGGTTGTCATGCTTGGGAAAGAAGAGGGTCCATGAGAAGAAAAGTCCCAACGCGAAGTACTCACGTAGTGACCTCAGCAGTGGAGCTGTGCACAGTGGAATCTATAGAACCACACAGGACTGGGCGAGGCTTCGATCTGTGATACACAAGGTGGATACGAGCCAGAGGTGACTCAGTGACACCTAACAACAGCTTGGGGTCTCCACTAAGTGGCAAGTTGTAGTTACGGGCCACTGAGTCGAGTATGACTCAATGACCATGTGAACAACAGATCTGAACCCTGTCCTACCCCGTGCGGTCCTCATAATCTCTGAAATACCCCAGCCCACTGCTGCAGTCACTGTGTCAGATCGCTTGGTTTGGGGTCTTCCTCTCTTTTCCTGTCTTTCACCTTTCTAAGCATAAAACCACTTCTAACAACATGCCCAAATTGGCAAGGCTGGGGTTCGATTCCAAGTGCCCTGATTCCCAAACCCTGCTTGTCCTGTGGTAAACACTGCACATAATTACGAAATAAAAATATTCACAGCAAGGGCTGTGCGCCCTGGTACACCTGATGGAAACATGCCTCTGCGGATCTGAGTGCTATCTGATCTTCCAAAGACCTGACTTGAAATCTCTAGTAAGGATAGAAAGGGATGCTGTCCACCGTCTCGCCTCAGAACCAGAGTAGATGCTCATCAGCTTCCAATACGAACAACAGGCTACATACAATACATTGCAGCCTTGGAGACCCGTCCGTAGGAGGTGAAATCAATGGAATTAATCTAAACAAAACTCACGTGAACTGAGTCACAATCGACTCCTAGCAACCCTTCATCGCGTTTTTGAAGCTGTCAATTTTAACAGTTCACCTCTCTCTCTTGCGGAACAATTGGGAGATTCAAACCGTCTACAGTTGGGAGGCTGGTGGCCTAGCGGTGAAGAGTTGTGCTGCCAACATACAGGGAAGTAGTTCGAATCTACCAGCCGCTCCACAGGAGAAAGATGGGTAACCTCCTCCCAGGCAATATACTGTCTCTGAAAGCTCACTGGAGTGTCAGCTATGGGGAGGTTCTGACCCAACAGCACACAACAACAACAACAAACAAATGTCTGTCCGGTTTTGAGTTCCACGGGTCTTCATCCTGGCTGTAAATCAGGAATGTTGCTGGCTGACTCTGAGTCGGCCCCAGTCGCATGTGATCCCACATACAAAGGACAACATGCTGACTCGTGCTGTGTGCTCCCCCTGACGCCATGAGGACTGGACCGCTGCTGCCCGCAGTGTCTCACCAGCTCGTACTCAGAAACAGACATCAGGTCTTTCTGTCCAGTCTGTCTGGAGTTCACTGAAATCTATTCAGCACCACAGCAATGTGCACACCTCCACTGACAGAGGCTGGTGACGGGGCACGAAGGCATTGTCTGAGACTCAAACTGGGTCTCCCGCAAGGAAGGCAGAGTTGACCAGTTAACCTCCAAGACCCCAGGCAACAGAAATACTGGGGCACTTTAATCACGCAGACCCTCTGCTTGTCCGGGTGGGGCACGTCATGGGAGGTGCTGCTGAACCAGCTGTATCTCACAGTGACCTTGTATCCAAGGAACGGCCGACCTCTCCTGACCCTGCACCCTTCTCACTCTCTCCACTGTGCTTAAGCCCACTGCTCATTGAAGCCCTTTCTCTCTTTCACAGACCTTCTACTTTTTGAAGCCTGGATGTCATTTTCCTGGGGCTGGACCCAAAGATAAGAGGCCCAAAGTATGTGAGTCAATCTGCTTCTAAGGAGCACTCTGGCTTCACTTCAAAAGAACACTTTCCCAGAGACAAAGCTCCGAAGGTAGGAACAGATAGGGGGTAAAAAGATCAAGGGAAATGGTACACACAAGGAGTGAATGGGAAGGATGCTGTTCCAATGGGGAGATTATAATCAACCTCATGAATCATAAAGTGTATTAACAGGTGAATGGAAAACCAATTTACTCTCTGACACTTCACTCAAATAACAAGAGGAAAAATAAAAAAAGAAGAAAAAGAAAGTTCCTAAGGTGATTTCAGTGTCATAGAGAACTGAGAACCACTGTGTGGATGATAATTTAGGAAGACGAGGAGGTAAAAGGCAAAGAGTTCGTACCTGCTCTGGCTTCTCCGGGTTGGCCTGAGAGACCTGGGGGGCCAGGTGGCCCAACTGCCCCCACTTCTCCATAGCGGCCAGGGAAGCCTGGGTCTCCTGGAGGGCCTGCAGAGAGAATTCCACAGGCGAGTAAATAAGTATACAGATACACGTCAGTGTTTGATAAACATACATGCTGAGTAGTTTTTCTGAAGCCCAGCAAAGACTGTTTTATGGGGTTTGTCTGTTTTTACCACATATCTTCGCTACCCCTTTCTGCAGACACAATGCACTCTGAGTTGAGCACTGCTGGCTGGTTTCTGACTTAGACGTAGGTCGTACAAGTGTTTAACATGTTCAGTTGCTAGCCAAAAGACTGGCTGTTCAAATCCACACAGAGGAGTGTCAGATAAAAAAAAAAAAAAGACCAGGTGGACAAAAAATCCCAGCCATACAAAAAATCCCCATGGAGTACAATTCTACGGAAATACATTACTTTACTGTCAGAAGTGGCTTGATGGCAACTGGTTTAACTGCTCCTCTCCCCAGGAGTATGTTAATGGCATATACATCAAACACCACTCCCATCTATTTACTGACAGATGACACACTAAAAACAGCCCATCCACAAACAAAAAAGCTGTAAGTATATTCACACAATGGAATACTACGCTGCACTGAAAAACAAGGAACTCACGAACTATTATACAAAATGGGTGATCCTGGAGGACATTATGCTGAGTGGAAACACCTCAGTCACAAAAGGACAAATAATTCACAGTGCCACTGTTGTAAAACAGGACTGACATTGGAGTTCGGGGGAGATTGTGAAAGAGGGGATAAATAATATATACTGCATTGAAACAGATGAGGGAGAGAACTGTTTAAAAGGGATATAGGACTAGGTTCTATTTTCATGACAAGATTCCAGAAAAAGAAATGCAGAGTAAAGTGGACTGTGGACTGGGGGGTAGGGGGAATGTATAACAATGAAAGTTGTTGTTGTTGTTGTTTTTCTTTTCAAAGAGAAAAGTGAACTAGGAGGAGGGGTAGGCAGGGAGAAAAAGGTGCAACCATGAATGAATGGGGGAAAGAAATAAAAAAATTAAAGCAAAACAAAACCCAAAGATACAGTTTATATATTAAAATAAAATCTAATACTTAAAGTCAATACAGACAAACAGTGGGCAGATTCTCTCCATGCTCACATTTCATTATTTACAGTCAAGTTCAACACAACATGTGCTAGCTAGCTCAGAAGCTCTGGTAGTGTAGTATGCTATGTGTTGCACTGCTAGCTGAAAGATCAGTGGTTCGAATCCATCACCCAATCCATGAGAGAAAGATGGGCAATCTCCTCCCATAAAGATTTATGGCTTTGGACATACAATGACAATCACTATGAGCTGGAAGCTCTACGAGTTAAGGAGCTCTGGTGGTCAAGTGGTAAGAGGCTGCACAGCAATCCTGAAGGCACGTGGTTTGAATCCACTCCCCCTTGTGCAATTAACTGTCTCTGAAAACCTGCCTGAGGGTCAGCTACAGGTCATTTCTGATTTTATGGTTCCCAGAAGCAACATGAGCTGGAACAGACGCAACAGCCATGAATTAGATTTTGTAGGAAGTGTACTAGCTAAATAAATACCTGAACAGATTCCTTAGTTGAGGCTGTGCAAAATCCCATTTCTTTGTAATTTATGGAGGAAATAATGGGACACATACCTTTAATTGGAACAGATGGGGTTACCAAAACACCTGGTGGTCCAGGGTGTCCACGGTCGCCAAGGTCCCCCTGAAATCATTCATGCATTCATTCATTCACTCTTTTTAGAAACATTAGTATTTTTCTCATGTTGTCTACCACTAAATAAATACATAAGCACATTTAAATAAGAAATCAAAACTGTTGATCAGCTGAAGAAATGAATGGCTCATGGAGTTCAAGAAGGAAGAAGAATTCATCCAGCCTCCCACCTTCAAGCATAAGTCAATAACAAACTGGCAAAACTGGCAAACAATTTCTAAACAGGTAAATAATTCCATGGAAGCAGGAGTGGCATCAACTTCCTAAATAACATGTCTCCAGAAACTCCTTGAACTTGGATACATGTTGATAGTTGTAGGGGGGCTTCAGGCCTTTTGTTCATAGGGTCGCTATGAGTCATGCTCTACTCGAAGGCAATCAACAACAACAACGAGATAGGTCTGACACTCTTAATTTTCTTCAGTGTAGTAAAAGCCTGAACTTTTAATTGAGAAATCTAGTGTAATAGCTGGTTTACACATCATCAAGCGCTGAATCCCGACTTAGTTCGCAGTAAATAGTCCTCTTTGACCCCCTAACATCTCTACAGCTTGTTCTCAGTGAACAGTGCACATGAGATCTCAGGGACAATGACGAAAAGGAGGACGTGCAGGCGCGGGGAGGCACATGAATGGCCTGCAGGCATGGCAAGAGCAGCCTGATCTAAAGGACTCCTTTCACTGTTTCAAAAAGAACTGACTTTTTTTTAGTTGTTATTTAAAAAAAAAAAAATATGTACAGTAGGACATTGACCAAACCACAGTTTTCACATGCACAATTTGATGGCACAGAAGACATTTTCCAAAATAACTATTTTCATTTTCTTAAATTTTTCCTCCTTCACTAACACAGACTCATTACTCTCCAAACCCATTAATTCTTTTTTTAATTTTCTATTGTCTAGGCACACAACAACAACAACGTGCATAGGGTTGCTATGATTTGCAATCAAGTCAATGGCATATAACGACAACAATTGTTATTTAATCCCATAAGGAAAGTTCTTTAAAGGCAGACATTACTTATTAGGAAGAAGTCAGGGAATATATTTTGGCTTCAGGTTTAAAAATTATCTAAGGGCATTAGTTTTGGGGGTTCTTCCAGCTTCAGTGGATCCGTAACGTCTGGATTCCATTGAAAAAATCAGAAATTCTATTCTGCATTCTCTCCTTTTTGATCAGGATTCGTTTATAGAATCTTAGAGGAAGATGCTTTCATTTTAATCTCAGTATCACATTGGTGGTAGTGTGCATCAGCGAGCGTGAACGGACCCATAGCTGACCTGCCAGCAGGTGTTCAGAGGCTGCAGATCACACTGAAGGAAACAGCTCACCTTTCTTCTACAGAGCTGCTGGTGGATTCGAACTGTGTGCCTGTGTGTTGGCAGTACAGTTCCCTACCATTATGGACTTCTTGAAGCTTTCTTTGTAATTTTACCTTGGTGAAGGATTATTTCACAAATTAAAATATAATCACCACAACATAGATTAATCTACACAGAATAAATCCTCTCTGTCAGAATAAATTCACTCTGTCCCTTACAAAAGTAGATAGCACAGTGGTTACATCACTAGGCTGTTAATGTAGAAGACTGAGGGTTCGAATTCAGCAGCCACAGTGCAGACGAAAGAGGCAGGCAGTCTGCTTCTGGGACGATTTAGAGCCTTGGGATCCCCATGAGTCAGATACACTTATGAATAATTCTTTAAAAAATTTGTATATATACCCATTCTTGTCTTTTTATAATAATGGTAGCATGATTATTTACCTTCGTTTTATTCGTCTTCTAAATTTTATTTTGTCCATGTTATTGAGCATATGCATAATAAAGCACACACTAACCCAACAGTTTCTGCTAGTACTATTGTGTAACATTGACCTATATATTCACATCTCCTAAGTTGTGTCACTCTCATTAAGATAAACTCCCTGTCCCCAAAGTTCCTATCTAACTTTTGACTTGATATTATAAATTTTCATTTGTATAGTTCTTAAAAGATTTCTAGGTCCCAGAGTTTGATAGGCAGAGGGATGAGGTGAAGGAATTAAGAAAGATCCAGTGGGGACCTGAAAAGGCAGGAGGATAATGGTGGGCATGGATGGGTGATTAATTTTATAAAAAAACAACATATAGGAATAATTGTATAAAAAA